AGTCCTCGTGGTCAGGGCTGATGCGTCCCTGCTACTGACCTGCGCCCCGGCCGGATGGGCCCAGAGACGCCCGGGGAAGGCGCCTCTCCTGCGTCCCAGAGCATCCTGCCGTCCCTCTCCCGGCCCCCGAAGCGTCGGGCCAGGAGGGGCGAGACCCAAGCACTCACACTGGCCCTCCACGAGGTGGCGGGAGCCCGCAGGACCCGCAAGCTTCGCAGAGCCTGTGACTGGGAGGGTTCCGGGCCCTCGGCCGCAGATACACTGTCGCACCCCAAAGAAGTGTTGGGCCTGCGAGGCACCCGAGGCACGAGTGCTTAACTCCGGGTCCAGTCAGCTCGGCCGAGGGCCGGCAGGACTCCCCGAGGCGCGCCTGGGCCGAAGGGCACACACTGTCCAAGGGGGCCTCCCTGTCCACCTTGGGGGAAGGTTCCACCCAGACAGATCAGGCCTGGCTTCAAGTGCTTCTAGAACGTCTTCGAGTTTTCCGGCTCCCCCTCCCTCCTCTGCACTCCTCCTGATCTCTAGGAGCGTGGGGTTGACCGCAGGGGTCCAGCAGGGCGCAGCGGCCCCGGCGAGGCAGGAGGGCTGGGGTCTTGGGGGTGCGGGTGTGCGCGCTAGGGCGCTGGTAGACCTGGGCCCGCCTCACAGCTGAAGGCGAGGCCCCGCCCCGCAGGTATGGGGGGAGGGAAGCGAGAGCCCCCGAGCGCCCTCCGGACCCGGCCTTTGAAATGCCAGAGTCAGCCGAGCTGGGCCTGAAAGACCGCCCGCGGGCCTGCGCCTTTACTGCCTTTGTCTGGTGGGAGGGCGGTCGCGGGGCTAATCCACAGGATGGGGGCGGGGAGGCGAGAGGGTGGAATTCCTCTCGAGTGCCCACCCTCCCACGAGGGAGTTCCCCAGCCTCTAGAGGCCTTAACCGTCTGGCTTTGGGGTGCGACAGTCCGCCATCACCTCGTTTCTGGTACCAGGGCGCGTCCGCCCCCTCGAGAGAGGTATACGGTGAGGGCGTCCGGGGTCGCTGCCGGGCCCGCTCTCACCCGGTCTAGCAGGCATAACCTGGCGGGTCCAGGCGCCTCAGCCCTTGGGCGCGGAACGGTACAGCCGAGCTAGGACATCGGCCTCTGCGCACGTCGTGTCCTCGCAGAGCGCTCGGTGCCGCGCGGCGGCCGGAGGTGGCGCTCTGCGCGCCCCATGGATGCCCCGGAGGGAAGCTCAGAGTCCGGGGGTTCCTTCAGAGCCATCTTCCTTCGTTCCCTCCCACCCCCTCGATTCCGCTCAGGATGCGGCCCGGTCCGGCCTTCCGCGCGGGAGTGGGACTTTTGGTGGCACGGGGTCCCAGGGAGGGCCGGAGGCACGCTGCAGCTCCCTCCCCCTGGGCGCGCTCTCCTGTGGAATGTAGGTGGGGGCTCCTCATTCCGGGGCTTCAGGCGTCGGCTCCGGGGCGGGGGCGCGTGGCAGCTGCCAGGTGAGTGCCCCAGCCGCGCCCCCAGGCCCACCCCACCGCGCCCCTGCGGCTCAGGGATGTCCTTTTATGGAGAGGGGAGGCAGGGGCTCCTGAGTCCTAACGGGGGCCTGAGGCTGAGCACCCAGGGCGAGGGGGCCGCCCCTTTTCGGCCCTTCTTGGCGCAGCAGCTCTGCGCGCTCCCCCTTGGTCGCCGCGGGCCCGGGAGAACGAGCCAGCGCCGGCCTCCTCCCCGCCCGCCGCTGCCGGGTGCCGCAGGATCGCAGCTGGCACCGGCGGGTAGGCAGCCCGAGGCGCGCGGGGCCCAGGCCAGCGCCAGGCTCCGAGGTGAACGAGCCCTCCTGCTGCATTATGAGCCCGAGAGAGCCGGGCTGTGTGGCCACTGCGGCGGCCCCCGCGCGCTTCCGAGG